TTTTCGGCCAATTTTGACCATTCTCGGCTGATTTTATATTCATCCTTGCGAGAAAACACGTTAGGGGGTCTCGATTGGCCAAGAAAAGTCAAAAAATAAAAACCTACTAGCGGCGTGATTTTCGGTATGGTGGCTCCGCTGGCTCACCTTCACAGCTGGGCCTTTTTCTTCAGTCAACCTGTAGAAAAAAAAACGATGAACACAATGGTGAAAAAATCGCACGAAACGGAAAACGGGAAGGGGCTTATTGAAGGCAATTTTGGGTTTTGTCCACGGCGGCGTTGCTCGCGATTTCTGGCTCATCCACCGTTTCATTGTTCTGATTTGGTCATGGGGGTGCTCTGATTTGGTCATGGGGGTGCTCAGAATCAAATTCCGAGCAGACAGGAGAATTTTTACCTTTTTTGGCAGTCGGAAGTGACTCCGGCGCTGCGGCGAGCGGCGGTTGGCTCCCTTCTCCGGTGACTGGTTCTTCTTCTCTAGCGGAAGGCTGGCGGCTAGTTTGGGTTCGATTTGATGCGAGATATTTATATCCATCTCGCTTAAATCTGGATCGTTAATCACGTTTGATCTCAACTGTCTAATCAGGTTTAAAAAGAAAATGAATCTTGACCATTCATCGCAATTTGATCTCGATCATCTGATTGCGTTTAAAGAGGGAATGAATCTGAGTCATTCATCGCATTTAATCGCGACCATTCGATCGTGCCTGAGGAGGGAACGGATTCGAACAGTCGACGCACTTAGGAACGCTTTCGGGTCATCCGATCGCGAACACGCGGATTGCCAGTGTGGTATCCTGCGTGGCACCAAGTCATTGTGCCTTGCCACGCGGCACACTCCAGTTCATCGGAGCTGCTGACTGGGCAGTCATACGTGGCGCAATTTTTTTTAATTGCGTTTTGACCCACAATTCTGATTTTTCTTTCAAAAATATCATCTTAACCCAAATTTTTACTTTTTTTATCAAAATTATTTTCAATTTCATTTTCAACCTATTTTTTTTCCTAATTTCATATTAAATAAAAATTTATTAATTTCAAAATTATATTTTATACATATTTTGAAATTTTAAAATTAATTCCAGACTAAATTTAGGATTTAGGTATTACAATGTGGCATTTATGTAAATATCACATTGATAATGTCAAATAACTAGATATGCACCATATATTAAAAAAATTTACAGACATGTACTTTAAGAGAGAAATCGAATAAGTTACACTAGCATGTATTACATTTTTCATATCATTATAAAGAGTTTTAGATATTGGTGTAAGGTCATTTGATGTTTCTTCTTGTTTTTGATAGACAGTGATGGAATTGTTAGCAGAGATATTACATTACTAATAACAACAAACGAACTATACTCCATAAGTGAACATAAAAGGTCTGTAAATATATTTGAAAAATGAAATAGAATTAATTACACTAGTAGGGATGACAACTCTTTATGTCATCTAAGATTGTATTATGAAGAGGTTTAAATATTCATATAAGGTTTTAAAATATTTCTTTTTTCTTAAATCAACAATAGATGGAAATGTAAAGCTGGAAAACGATATTTTCAAAAAGCAATATAAATTATATGAAGGAAGAAAACTGAAGCTATATTTGATATTAGTGAAAATCCTAAAAAGCCTTAAACTCGCCCTCAAGAAAAAAGAATGAAGAAGCTCATTTTAAGGTCGGTTCATCTTATATATACCAAGCAATTACTATAAAAACATTATAAATATATATATATATATATATATATGCTACTCTCACCATTGTTGTGGAAACTAAATCACGTTCACCCATAAAACAGTATATGTGCTAATTTTTTTATTCGCTATGCTCACCTTATAAAATTAAGAAATGCAAAATTATGTAGACAGGATTTCTTAAGTACTAGTATTAGTCTTTGGTTCTTTCCATTTATAGCAGAAATTGTGTATTTTCAAAATACTCTCAGTTCTTCTAAATTAGTGTAAATTTTAATAATTTTTCTCTAAAAAAAGATTTGAGATTCGAGAGAAGCTGTAGGAATTCTTTTTTAATATTAAGAATATAAAGAATAGTAGAATAAAAAATGTTTAATAGAATAATTAACTGAGTTAATATTAAAAAGCAAAGTGTATACGACTTTATAGCATAAAATGGTTTTTGCATAATCAATAAAAATTGATCCTTTTTCTGTATTATACTAAATTGCAAATTTCTTCTGCATATCTATGTATTTTTTAAAGCTTATATATATATATATATATTCAGGAAAATAAAAGGTAAAAGCAACGCACGGGATAGGGCAATGAATATCTCCAGGCTCCAGTACCTTCCACAACATTCTCTCCAAACATCTTCCAGAAGCTACCGACTATTTCTATCTCTCTAGAAACTCCTCTTTCGTCTTCCTCACCAATTCAATTCACCACCTATAAATATATACAGCCCGCTCTTTCCATGTATCTGCAACCAAAAATCAAACTACTCGACAAATCAAATTGCTCGCCTTCAAGTCGTCGGAAAGAGAAATATGGATCTAAAGTTGTTTGAATTGGAGTCACCGATCCTGTCGTCGCTGCGACAGTTGATGGAGCTACAAGATACTGAAGCAGAGAAGTCATTCAACGCTCCCACAAGGACATACGTGCGAGACACCAAGGCCATGGCGGCAACTCCTGCTGATGTGAAGGAGTATCCAAACTCTTACGTTTTCATTGTAGACATGCCGGGCTTGAAATCTGGGGATATCAAGGTCCAGGTGGAGGATGACAACGTGTTGCTAATCAGCGGGGAGAGGAAGCGGGAGGAAGAGAAGGATGGAGTTAAGTACTTGAGGATGGAGAGAAGGATCGGCAAGGTCATGAGAAAGTTCTCTCTGCCGGATAATGCAAACACTGACGCCATATCGGCGATTTGTCAGGACGGTGTTTTGACCGTCACCGTCCAGAAGTTGCCGCCACCGGAGCCCAAGAAGCCTAAGACGATTGAGGTTAAGATTGCCTAAGGTGCGATAAACTACGTAAATCTAGTCTTTGTTGGTGTACGTGCTGTTTCCGGATGTATGTGTTCCGAGTTTGGTGATGATGTTTTTTCTTCTCTCTTCTGCAGAAATATGGTTTCATGGTTGTGAATGCATAGGATAATGAAAGAGAAAAAATAACTTCTACCATTTCTGGTGCGAGATTGGTGAGATTAGTTCAATATAACCACATTTTAAATAAATTAGTACTAAGAAATGGAACAGAAGATGTCTTCCTCTTGAGACTTTTAATTTTGGTCTCGAGTCTGATTATAGAAGGTTCTTTAAAGTGGAAGAAAAATCCTTCTTTTGCAGCCACTAAAGGATGACACTTCCTGTTAATTTCTTGTCAACAATGCTTGGTGATTTGGATGAGAAAATGTATATGGAATTACTGCCTGATACTTTAATAAAAAGGAACAGGAAGTGTGTAAGTTAATGAAAATCATATATCGTCTCAAGTAAGCATTACGGCAATTTCTATGCGAAGTCTTCAGACTTCATTATCAAACAAGGGCTTATTCCAATCACAATCCTTACGTGAAAAAAGATGCTGTCGATGACAATTATGTAACAGGATAATTGAAGACCTAAAAGAAGTAACGAACAGAGAATTTTAAAATCAAAGATGTGGGAAACTCAAAGTATTTTCTTGGAATCGAGTTTGACCGATCTATGAGAGGATGTCACATGTGTCAACAAAAATACACTCTTTACTTATTGAAGGATACTGGTATATTAGGGAGCAGAACGCCAAAATCTATGTTGGATTGAAATGTCAAGTTCTCCAAGAACAATGGCGAACCTATCTTCGTCACAACCATTTATAAGAGAGTGGTTGAAATACTAACAATTTGACTCTAACAAGATCAAATATAGCCTATTTTGTCCAATTTTTGAGTCAATTTATGGAAAATCCGGGATATCAACGTTTGAATATTGCTTACAAGATTTTGAAGTACATAAGAGATATTTTATTAGAGTGTGTTTTGTTTAAATTTATATGAGTTAAGACTGAATACCTATAATGATAGTGATTTAGGAGGATGTCCTAACATGAAAAATTTTGTTACGAGTTATTAGTTTTTACTTGGTAGTTTTTTGATATCCTAGAAGTCTAAGAAACAGCAAAATATTTCTAAATTTTCTATTGAGGTGGGATATAGACCGATAGCAAGTGTATGATGTGAACTAATTTAAATAATGTATCTGTGATATCTAAAATGTTAATTAAAATATGAGAATATCATATATAGAAACAGATTATAAGTGCATAAAAAAATTATATGCAGTAGAGCAAATTATTATAAATTTCTTATATAATATATGAGTTCTAATTAAAGAATATATAATTAAGGCCAAAAGTAGCAACAAAATAAAAAAAATATCAAAATATAAAAAGTGTCACTTTTATGATTATGTTATTGGACTCATCAGAGTGCGGGAACAATTATACATTTAAGGTTTGTGGATCTACAAGACTCTCATAGAATTCAAGGGGTAAGTCAGCGAACGATTCCTTCCTATCACTCGGCTGCACACGTTGCAAGCCTAGCTTGCATGCACCGGGCTACCCTACCGCGTGCAGGGCTTATTGTGCACAGGCCCCAGGCGTGTAGGCCTATCCGTGCAAGCTTGCTGCACAGACAGCGCACGCATAGCGTACGGCGCCTAGCCCTGTCCGCGCGCGAACAGGCCCGCCTACGCGCGACAAGATGCGCACATAGGACAGACCTTGTGCCTTGCGTGGATGGGACGTGCATACTATGAGCATGTCCTACGCCTGATCGCGCACGTACGCACGCGCACAGCACACAGCGGCCGCGCAGGCGGTCCTCTTCGCGAGATTATTCCCCATTTTCAAATTAAAATAATAACATATAAAAATTAAAATAAAATAACAAAATCGGCATAAGATTGTAATTACGAATTACGATATAAAGCTGCGAAATAAAATTAAATGAGTTAAGGTGGCTTTAATGCCCGAATAAATAGGAGTTCTCCAAATATAATTTAGTGCGGTGGTGAGCGAGGTGTTACATTCCCCCCCTCCCCCAACTTTAAAAAATTTGGTCCCCCAAATTTGTCTCGAATAAGTTCGGGAACTTTTTTCTCATCTCGCTTTCCAACTCTCACGTCACCTCTTTCGGAGTATGGTGTTGTCATTACACTTTCATCATGGGGGTCGTCTTATTGCGTAAAATTTTGTCGGTCCAATCAAGAATTTTCACGAAGAGTTTCTCGTAGGTCATATCGGCTTGTTCCTGTATCTCATCGTGATGGATAATATAAGAAAGGTCAGGGTGGTACCTTTTGAGCATGGAGACGTTAAAAACATTATGTAGACCCGCAAACTCTCAAGGTAGAGTAAGACAGTATGTCACAGGTCCAATACGCTTCACGATCTGAAAAGGTCCCACATAACGAATGCTCAACTTTTCTCTTTTTCTGAACCGCATTTTTTCTTTGTAGAGAAAAGCCTTAAGGAATACTTGATCTCCAACAACAAATTCTAGAGGTCTCGTACGATATCAATGTAACTTTTCTGGCGATTCTAGATGCTAACCAAGTTTCTACGGATGATCACAACCTTTCTCAATAGTCTCTTGACTGAAGTCTGGTCCCAAATGATGTTGGCTTTCAACTTCACTCCAACAAGTGGGAGAATGGCAGGGCCTGTCGTACAGAGCTTCATATGGAGTCATGCCGATATTAGAATGATAACTGCTATTATAAAAAAATTCACACAGAGAAAGATACTCATACAAGTTATTGTCAAAGTTAAGGACGTAAGCACGCAATATGCCTTCTAATGTCTGGATAGTACGTTCCGACTGACCATTAGTTTGAGGATGATAAGCAGTGCTGAAGTACAATCTAGACCCAAGAGCTTCTTAAAAGCTGTCCCAAAAGTGAGAGGTGAATTGAGAATCTCGATCGGACATAATGGATGAGGGAACACCATGGAATCGAATAATTTCATCGATATAAAGGTGGGCTAATTTACTGGTGGAGTCTATGGTCCTTATGGGTAAGAAATGAACGATCTTGATTAGACTGTCAACGATGACCCAAATAGCATTATAATCGAAACAGGTCCTAGGTACTGGTGACAAAATTCATGGTTATATGCTCCCACTTCTATTTCGGAATCGGGAGGTCATGTAACAAACTGTCGGGTCCCTAGTGTTCTACCTTAATCTTCTGGAAAATAAGGCATTGGGAGACGTAGTTGATAATGTCCTTCATTTCTGGCCACTAGTATTTGTGCTTCAGGTCCCAGTACATCTTGATGCTCCCGGGATGGATGGACAGTTTAGAGGTATAGGCGGCCTTGAGAACATCCGTCTTGACAGTGACAGGGAACCAAATTCAGTCCCGAAATCTAAACAACTCATTGTCTGAGAGTTTGAAATCAGAAAACCTGTCAGAAGGGAACTTATTCAAATTTTGGAGTATATTCTCAAATCTTTATAAAAAGATTAGGAAAGACTCGGATCTGAGCGAGATAGGTATTGTTGCCATAGTAGTTGAGGCAGAGTGACTGCATAATATCTACTAACTTCCAACTGGAGGCCATGATTTGGGCCAACATTGTGGACTCTTTTCGACTCAGTGTATCAGCGACTATATTTTTTCTACCGGGATGGTAGATGATCTTGCAGTCGTTGTCCTTCACAAGATCCATCCAGTGTCTCTGTCTCATGTTCAACTCCCTCTGCGAGAAGATGTACTTAAAGTTTTTGTGGTCAGTGTAAATTTCAAATGTCTTACCAAACAGGTAATGACGTCATATCTTCAAGGCAAAGATAAGGACTGTCAACCCTAGGTCATGAGTAGGATAGTTCCACTCATGGAGTTTCAATTATTAAGATTTATAAGCGACCACTCTATCATGTTGCATCAAAATGCATCCCAAGCTAATATGAGATGCATCACAGTAGACCTGAAATCTTACAGTGTTGTCAAGGAGGATCAACATCGGATAGAGGTCAGGCGATGTTTTAATTCCATAAAGCTTTCACTATATTCGTAATTCCAGACAAATGGTATGCCCTTTCGAGTGAGTCAAGTCAACGGAGTAGCAATCTTAGAAAATTCGTCGATGAATCGCCGATAGTAACTTCCTAAGCTAAGAAAAATACATCAGCCACATTGGTTTTAGTTGATCACCATTTTAACCTTGGTTGGATCCACGAAAACTCTTTCACTTGAAATTACATGACCGAGAAAGGAAACTCGGTCTAAACAGAAAGAGTATTTGCTAAGTTTAGCAAACAGCTGGTTCCGACAAAGTATCCCTAGTACTTTAAACAGGTGGACTACATGTTCTTCCGGGCTCTTAGAGTACACTAAGATGTCATTAATGAACACGATAACATACTGATCCAGTACATGCCAAAAAATCTTGTTCATGATATCCATGAATGCAGCAAAGACATTAGTTTACCTAAACGACATCACCTTAAACTCGTACAGACCGTATCTATTCTGAAAAGGGGTCTTCGAAATATCTTCTTCCTTGACTCTCTAGGTGGTACACACGATCCTGAAAAAGACAGTGACTCATTGTAGTTGGTCGAAAAGATCGTCAATTCGAGGTAGAGGATACTTACTCTTTACTGTTACTCGGTTGAGTTCTCGATAGTCCACGCATAGTCTGAAAGAGTCATCCTTCTTTTTCACAAAAAGTATCGGAACGCCCCAAGGGGAGTGACTAAGGCGAATAAACTTCTGGTCAAGTAGCTCGAAAAACTAGTTTTTCTGTTCTGCGAGCTCAGCACGACTCATGCGATAGGCAAGTTTCGAAATTAGTTGGGTTCCAAGTAGCAATTAAAAGAAAATTCTACCTCTCGTGGGAGAGGTAGACCAGGTAATTCGACAGGAAAAGCTTTCAGAAAATTACAAACAATAGGAATGTAATACACAGCAGATCAGTATCCATATTCATGTTTATTCAATTGTTATGAAAAAATAATAGAAAATAAATTTTTATTTTTTTTTCGGAGATCGCAATGTTATAACTTTACTTTCACAATCATAATTACTCTATATTTTTCTAACCAATCCAT